AAAAACATTAAAAGATTATCTGAAAACGGCACACAAACAAACACCATCCGACTGCGACGAAAAATCTTAAAATGTTCCATGGAAGATACAAGAAATGATGTGCCTGATGAAGGCAAACAAGTACGAAACTTACGGGTTTTATGGACCCAACTGCAATACGCCGAATGCCAAAAAGCTTAAAAAAACATGGAATTTAGTTGCTGAAGCGATTTTTTTTTAATTGGAAAATTTACTAAAAATTTCCTGATGACGCTGAAAAATCGAAACTTTCATGGATGTAGACAAGTGAACTCCAAAAATATTTGAACCTTTCACATGAACACGACAACAACGACTAGGTGAACTGGAAATTCGGCAACGCTGTCAAATTCACAAAAAAAACTGCCCGAAGATGGCGCAAAACCGACACTTTCCGAACAAATACGATCAACTTTCAGCCATAAAATGTGAAACTTCTCAATTTTTCCATGAAAGAAACGAAAAATCTATTAAATTCAACTCGAAATTTGTCTGATGATGGCGCACAAATTCGAAACTTTATGGACCAAAGTAAGATCCACCGAAAGTCGAAACTTTTCGGACAAAACATCGAATCTTTCAGATGGGATCTTTAAAAAATTGGAAAATTACTCACTAATCTCCTGAGGATGGCAAAAAACGAAACGTTCAAGATGCATGTAGACATGTGAAATCTGTCAAAAGCAAAACTGCAAAAATCTGCGAAGGTTTCACATGAAAAACAAACATTTGGCTAAACTGGAAATTCTGCAACACTGTAATATTCACAAAAAACTCCCTGAAAAAGGCGCAAAATCGACACTTTTTCAATAAGTCGACGAACCACGAACCATCAAATGTTAAAACTTCAAAATACCCCATTTTTTTAAGAAGATTGTCTGATGATGGCGCACAAATTCCAAACTTTCGGGCTGTGCAGACTCAAGTAAAATCCACCGAGTCCAAAACGAAAAAACTCCAACTTTTTGGGCAAAAAACGAATCTTCAAGTTGGGATCTTCGAAAAATTGGTGACTTCACCAATAATCTCCTGAGGATGGCGAAAAACCGAAACTTTCGCGATGCATGTAGACATTTTGAATGTGTCAAAAGCGCAATCACAAAACTCTTCGAATGTTTCACATGAGAACCAATGATTTCCTAAACGGCAAAAAATTCAGCAACACTGTAAAACTGGAAAAATTGCCTGAAGATGGTGGAAAATAAGAATATTGCCAACTATGACCAATTGAATGCTAAAATTTCAACATTAACAAGAAATTTCAGGAAATAACGAGTAAAATTTCTCTGATGATGACGTACAAATTCGAAACTTTTGGGCTTTGTAGACCCAAACAAAATGCACCGAAAGTCCAAACACCAAAAACACCAACTTTTTTGACAAAAAATCGAAACTTCAAGTTGGGATCTTAAAAAATTGGAAAATTCCCCACTAATCTCCTGAGGATGGCGAAAAAGCGAAACTTTCGTGTCTATTTTTGAACACATGTAGACATTTTAAAGCTGTCAAAAGCGCAATTGCAAAAATCTTCGAACGTTTCACACGAGAACCAATGATTTGCTAAACTGCAAAAAATCGGGCAACACTGTAAAACCGCAAAAGTTGTCCGAAAGTGGCGCAAAATCAGAAGATTGCCAACTATGACCAATTGAACGCTAAAACTTCAACATTCACCAGAAATTTCGAAAATTTTACGAAATTACGAGTAAAATTTGTCTGCTGATGACGCACAAATTCGAAACTTTCAGGACACGTGTGGAAATGTGAAAGCTGTCGAAATCGAAATCGCAAAAATCTTCGAACATACGAAATAGCCAACAGTTTGGGTCAACTAAAAATTTGGCAACACAGCAACCTTCACACAAAAGTGTCTGAAGATGGCCGAAATGTTCGAATTTAAAAATCCTCTAATGTACCATGTAAGACACGCGCAATTTATGAAACTTTTCGAAAAGTATCATGAAATTTGTCTGATGATGACGAGACAAATCAGTAATTATCGAATCCAAAAACTCAACCATCCTGGTTGCTTGGCTGTATGATTCCAAATCCAACAAAAACACCCTGATGATGGTAGAAAATCGAAACTCCCATCATCGTCAAAGCCGAAGCATTATGAGAAATCGGTCAAAAGCAGAAACGCATGCAAAAACATCGAAATTTTAATTGTGATTGAAGTAAAAACACTTAAAATGTGAGAATTTTGGAACAAAAAAACCGTACAAAACGCCAAAAAAATACTTGAAGATGGACCATATCTCTGTCTGGTCTGACGACGCAAATTCGAAATTTTCCTGCAAAAATAAAACTTTATAAAAAACTTTGCTTGAAAACTTGCGAAAAAAGCCAAATCCACCAGCACTCACCCTGATGATGGACGGACAGTCGAAACTTTTAGAGTGCAAATAACCAACTATGCCCTCGAAAAATCGGAAAACGTCAAATTATTCCACCCTTTCAAGCAAAAAAGCAACAAAAACGATCAAAAACGTCGCCTGATGATGGCGCAAAATCGAAACTTTCACAGTGTATCAAGAAACTGTTCAATCACACGACTCAAATGTTTGTTGCGTCTAGAAATTGGAACCAAAACAAAAATTTGCAAAATCGCCTTCAACCCGCCCAAATTGAAAAAAATTATCAAAATTAGCCTGAAGATGGTGCAATGCCGAAACTTTCTGATCGCAAGCAGCCAACCTGGCTGTGTTCGCTGCCAAAACTGGAAAGCTGCCAATGGCTTACGTGAGACAACAATTAATAAAACGTCGCTGGCAAATTTGGCAACATTGCCCAATTTACCATTAGCATTATAACGATTAAACCAAACTGTTTAATTCCGGGTTTTTTCACCCATTTGCGCTGCTGGGAAATTCTATCTTAATTAAACTCTGAAAGTTTCGATTTTAGCCCATCCTCAGACAGTCAGGCTGTTTCCAAATCACAAGCGACAGACTTCGGGCAGAAAAACCCGCAAATTCCACCCTGAATTAAACAAAATTGACTACCCGGGCGAAATAAATAGGAAATTTGCAATAAATATGGCAACATGGCATGCGCATGGTTTTGCAAAAAAAACCGCTGCGCACGACACGTTTTAAGTGTGGACCAATCAGTACTCACCATTACGCTTTCGAGTATATTGCGTTCCGCTTTGGTGTGCGACACGTCCTTCTGGTTGCGCACAATTGACGCTTTGCGCAGCACTTTCATTGCGAAAATTTTGCCGGCGTCTGCGCCAGTCCGCTTGCGGCATTGGAACACTTTACCATAACCTCCCTTGCCCAACACCTTCAATAGATCGAAATCCTTCGGCGACATGCGCTCCTCCGTCGGATTCACATTGGCCTCAGTTATTTCCACTGTATCAAAATCGCCGTCTGTCAAACTGCACACGAAAAAAAAAATCAATTACCAAAACCTAACCTAGTTTATTTAGCTGGGGCTACTCGTTGATGACGTCATAGCGACGCAATTTGACTGATAAGGTCACATCAGAGTGACAGGAATGTCAAAATTCGATTGTTTACCAGACATTTAAAGACAACATTCATTGAAAATGGCAAACAATTCTGAATACTTACTCAATGACCTCATTTGGGTTGGGATTTTCATCGATGTATCCCTGTAACCAAAAAAAAGTTTTAAAAAATCAAAGTGCAAATTCAAGCATTAAAAATTAATTTATAATTAATTAACTGAAAAATCCTTTTTTTCAGTGACATAACAGGCCGCAGTCGCGGCTTGAAAATTAATCGCGCAATTCATGTTTCGGCCAGTGCGGAACGTCGTCCATAGGTGGCGCTATACACTATACTAAACAAACTTGCAAATAAACCACGACCCAGCAACAAAATGTGAATCGAATGCATCCTCAGACTGAATTGTGCATAACGTGCAGATTTGTGGGACGATTTTGAAAATTCGACCATCCCTTGAAAGCCCTTTAAATCACCAACAGTTTTTGTTTGAAATGTTTTTAGCTCGCACACGCCGTAAGGGCGCTGCAGGGGCAAATAACGCGGTCGCCCTTTAACAAGTCATCCAAAATAAATTTGTAATTTACCAGCCCTTTCTTTAATTCAAAAACTGCGCCCTTTAAAAAGTCATCTTTGTCTATTAGCGCGGATTTTTATTGGGAATTTTTGTTAACGAGCTGCGAGCCAAATTGCAACAACACCTTTTTTCCAGTGCGTCCTCGAACTAAATTGAGCTTAACTTGCGAATTTAAGGACCGATTTCAAAAATCCAAAAACCTGTATATAACCTTTGAAATTATCAATATTTTTTTCTTTAAAACTTTTTTGATCCGACAATCGATAAAGGCGCTGTGCTGACAAATAACACAGTCGCCCTTTAACAGGGCATAAAAAAAACTTCCTGAAGTCATCCCCAGAAGGTTTTTCCATGTTCAAAACGATGACAAATCGAAAATTGTAAACGATGCAATCGATATTCAGAAAATTGTCGACTTTCTAACGTGCAAATAGCGTCTGTGGATATACTTTTAACGTCCCATGGATGCATTTCAGGGAGAAAAGCACGAAAAAAGTCTTCACTAGACTTGTAGAAGAAGCAAAAACGATCAAGGAATTTATCGAGCCCCTATCTCACAGCAAGTGACCTGCAAATTACCCACTTTGCTAGTTTAATTGAGAAATTTACGCTTTTCGGATGTCTTTTAGATTATCCAGAATTTTGCGTTTAATTTATTTTGACCCCTCTACAAGGTTCCAAGCATCAGACGCAAGATCTACTTCATCAGGACGCTCTGGGCGTTAAAAGTACGTTCGATGGACGTTGCTCATCACTATTAAAACACTCATGCATGGGCTCCTATTCGAGTGCAAATACGAAGCAGCGCTATGAGCAGATTGTTTTAAACTTTTTCCAAATTGTAAACCATCTAGGAACGTCTAAAGCACGTCTTCAGACCCTAACAACAACGCAAACTTTTTTGATCCGACAATAGATAAAGGCGCTGTGTTGACAAATAACACAGCCGCTCTCTAACAGAGCATAAAAAACTTCCTGAAGTCATCCCCAGAAGGTCTTTCCATGTTCAAAACGATGACAAATCGAAAATTGTGAACCACGCAATCGATATTTACAAAATTGTCGACTTCCTAACGTGAAAATTACGTCTGCGGATATACTTTTAACGTCCCATGGATGCATTTGAAGGAAACATCAGGCAAAAACGTCTTTATTAGACTTGTAGAAGAAGCAAAAACGATCAAGGAATTTAGCGAGCCCCATCTCGCATCAATTGACCTGCAAATTACCCACTTTGCTAGTTTAATTGCAAAATTTACGCTTTTAGGATGTTTTTTAGATGATCCAGAATTTTTAGTTTAATTTATTTTGGCCCCTTCACAAGGTTCCAAGCATCAGACGCAAGATCTACTTCATCAGGATGCCCCGGGCGTTAAAACTACGTTCGATGGACGTTGCTGATCACTATTAAAACCCCTTTTAATCACCAACAGTTTTGGTTTGAAACGTTTTTTTCCTCGGACATGCCGTAAGGGCGCTGCAGGGGCAAATAACGCGGTCGCCCTTTAACGAGCCATCCAAAATTAGTTGGTTATTTACCAGCCCATTTTTTCAATTCAAAAACTTCACCCTTTGAAAAGTCCACTTTGTCTAATAGCGCGGTTTTTTATTGCGGATTTTTGCTAAAGAGCTGCGAGCCAAATTGCAACAACACCGTTTTTCCAGTGCATCCTCGAACTTAATTGAGTTTAACTTGCACATTTAAGGGTCGATTTAAAAAATACAAAAATCTCCAAAAAGCCTTTCAAATGCTCTACATTTTTTGGTTGAAAACTTTTTTGATCCGATAATCGATAAAACCGTATTTCCCTGCTCAAAACAATGACAAATCGAAAATTGTGAACCACGCAATCGATATTCAGAAAATCGTCGACTTTCTAACGTGAAAATTACGTCTGAGGATATACTTTTAACGTCCCATGAATGCATTTGAAGAAAAAAAAGAGGTAAAACGTCTTTACTAGACTTGTAGAAGAAGCAAAAACGATCAAAGAATTTATCGAGCGCCATCTCGCAACAATTGACCTGCGAATTACCCACTTTGCTAGTTTTATTGCAAAATTTACGCTTTTAGGATGTTTTTTAGACGATCTAGAATTTTGCGGTTAATTTATTTTGGCCCCTTTACAAGGTGTTTAGCATCAGACGCAAGATCCACTTCATCAGGACGCCCTGGGCGTGAGAAGTACGTTCGATGGACGTTCTTCATCACTATTAACACACTAATCCATTCGGGATCCTATTCAATTGCAAATACGAAGCAGCGCTTTGAGCAGATTGTTTTAAACTTTTTCCAATTTGTAAACCATCTAGGAACGTCTAAAGCACGTCTGTAGGTCCTAAAAACAACGCAACCCACTGCCCAGTAACGCAATCCTTTATCCTCAAGCTTTTGCAGGCCAATTTAAAAAAACCGTTGAAAAACTTGGGTTTTCTTGAAAATAAACTAATCCCCAAATACCAGCCACAAAACTTCATTCGAATGCATCCTCAGACTGAATTGTGCATAAAGGGCAGATTTGTGGGACGATTTTGAACCAAAACCATCCTCTTGAAGCCCTTTAAAACACCAACAGTTTTTGTTTGAAACGGTTTTTCCTCGGACATGCCGTAAGGGCGCTGCAGGGGCAAATAACGCGGTCGCCCTTTAACGAGCCATCCAAAATTAGTTGGTTATTTACCAGCCGATTTGAAAAATTGCGAACTGCGCCCCTTAAGAAGCCAACTCTGTCTATTAGGGCGGTTTCTCATGGACGATTTTTCTAAGAGCTGCGAACCAAATTGCAACAACACYRTTTTTCCAGTGCATCCTCRAACWTAATTGAGTTTAACTTGCACATTTAAGGGTCGATTTAAAAAATWCAAAAATCTSCAAARRGYCTTTYAAATGCTCWACATTTTTTGGTTGAAAACTTTTTTGATCCGACAATCGATAAAGGCGCTGTGCTGACAAATAACACAGTCGCCCTCTAACAGGGCATAAAAAACTTCCTGAAATCATCCCCAGAAGGTCTTTCCATGTTCAAAACGATGACAAATCGGAAATTGTGAACCACGCAATCGATATTCAGAAAATCGTCGACTTTCTAACGTGAAAATGACGTCTGTGGATATACTTTTAACGTCCATGAATGCATTTGAAGGAAAAAAGCAGGGAAAAAGCCTTTACTAGACTTGTAGAAGAAGCAAAAATGGTCAAGGAATTAGCTCCATCTCGCATCTATTGACCTGCAAGTTACCCACTTTGCTAGTTTAATTGCAAAATTTACGCTTTTAGGATGTTTTTTAGACGATCCAGAATTTTGCGTTTAATTTACTTTGACTCCTTCACAAGGTTCCAAGCATCAGACTCAAGATCGACTTCATCAGGATGCCCCGGGCGTTAAAAGTACGTTCGATGGACGTTGCTCATCACTATTAAAACACTCATGCATAGGCTCCTATTCGATAGCAAATACGAAGCAGCACTTTGAGCAGATTGTTTTAAACTTTTTCCAAATTGTAAACCATCTAGGAACGTCTAAAGCACGTCTTTAGGCCCTAAAAGCAACGTAACTTTTTGCCCAGTAACGCAATCTTTTATCCCTGCTCTTATGCACGCCAATTTCGAAAAAACTTCGGTTTTTTTTGCAAAAATGACTGAAATACCAGCAATAAAATGTGATTCGAATGTATCCTCAGACTGAATTGTGCATAACGTGGAGATTTATGGGCCGATTTTCAAAATCAAACTATCCCCATCAAGCCCTTTAAATTTTCCAGATTTTTTGTTTGAAATGTGTTCTGCTCGGACAGGCCGTAAGAGCGCTGCAGACGAAAATAACGCGGTCGCCCTTTAACGGGAAATCCAAACTAAGTTGGTTATTTACCAGACGCTTTTAAAAATTGCAAAAATTGCTTCTATTAAAAGTCAACTTTGTCTATTAGCGCGGTTTCTTATTGGGGATTTTTGCAAAAGAGCTGCCAACCAAATGGCTACAACATCTTTTTCCCAGTGCATGAAGGAACTGAATTAAGCTCAACTTCGGCAATTAAGGGCCGATTTCAAAAATGCAAAAATCTGCACAAAGCCTTTTAAATGCTCAACATTTTTTAGTTGAAAACTTTTTTGATCCAACAATCGATAAGGGCGCTCTGTTGACAAATAACAGAGTCACCCTTTACCAGGGCATGAAAAAACGTCCTGAAGTCATCCTCAGTAGGTCTTTCCATGTTCAAAGCGATGCCAAACAGAAAATTATCGACGACGCAATCAATATTCGGAAAATCGTTGACCTTCTTACACAACAATGACGTCCTGTGAACGTACTTTTCACGTCCCATTAACGCGATTGAAGGAAAAAAGCGGGCGAAAAGCCTCCACTAGACTTGCAGAAGGCGCACGAATGCTGAACGCCCCTTTCCAACCTTCCAGTGGGTTTTTGTGAATTGAAAGCCGATGAAAATGGGAAAAGTGCCATAAATCGCGCTAAAATAGAGCTATGGGGAGTTGACGCGAGTCCCCATAACGTTAAAGCGATTTGTGCGGAACGAGAAATAAGCGCCTGGTAACATTGAAGCAGTCACCAAAGAGCCCTGAATGGGGCTCCGGGCTGCCACACATGTGGTTTAAGCAGCCAGCTGAAAAATTACTTTAAAATAGCCCCAGAGCTTGCAAAAGTGCTGGAAACCTTTGCAACGGCCCATAAACTGGATGAACCCCCCAACGGCCTGCTGAAATGCAGCCAGGGCCCCACGCCGAGCAAAAATCTGCTGTTTCAGACAGCAGCAAAAAACCGTGGTTTGCGTCAAACTCACACTCAAAAACCGAATGAAAGCATTGAAAGTGACCGCAAAAAGCCGCGATAAGCGCAATGCGATCGAGATAAACCCGAAAATCAGTGAATAAAGGAAAAAATTGCTTGTTTACCTCGATTTCAATTTCGGTGTCCGAGTCCGAGGACAGTTCGACAGTTTCGACGTCGTGCAGCTCGATGTCGAATACGGTCGCCATGGTTCGACCAGTTATGCGGAAAAACGACGATTTTTGCGGAAAAAACTGAACGAAACCCTTGCGAATTTAACAAAATCCACGCGTTTTGAGGTTATATCACTCGCACTACCCACACAGCTGCTCGACGCTTTGACTGCTGACACTGGTGGCAGGTGGCGCAGCGTTGCCGTCCCCATCAGGGGGGCGCGGTCACTTTTACAAACCACCTTTTTAATGAAATCAACTGCAAAACTACCCTGTCTTCAACAGGACTTAATTTAAAAAATTACAAGGACTCCAGACAAGCTTCTAATGTACAGGGATCCTGCGGATGACTGTAAAAAAAAATGTTTTCGGCTAATTTCCTCAAAAGGTTCAATGAAAAAAAATCCCCTTCAATACATGAAAGTTTCTGAGCAAATCCCATGAAAACTCTATTCAAATTCAATAAAAAAACCAAACCAACCCAATCACAGCCCAGTGAGTTTATACGCCAACCGCTAGATGCCGCCGGAGGCGGTGCCAAGGAAAATCCACCATTTGCCCACATTTAAACGAGATTTCCCTCTCAAGCCCCCACAGTCGCCATTTTCCCAAACATATCCACCATTCTGCAGGAAAATTAGCGAAAAATGTGTTTCAAACAGGACTTTTGCAGTTGCAACCCTGCAAATCGCCAAATCGCCAGTCTTTTGTTTCGCAATGGACGATTGGTGCAGTGGTTTGTGTCAGTGTCTTTTTGGTTGGACTCAAATTTCCGAAATTGGCCCTTTTTGGACTAAACAAGTGCTGGAAAATGGAAAAGACTGATTTCCTGGACTGGATGGTGAAAGACTTCGGGTGAGCCTTTGATTTTTGGGGTTTTTGGCGAAAATTCGCCGGACTGAAGTTGGCGGAGGGGCGCAAACCCCTCGGCTCACTGTGGGGCCCAGTTTCAATTGAAAACCCCCCATAGAGTTGGGGGGTTTTTGTCAATTAATAGGCTCAAACCGGGATCAACCGCCTGGTTGAAGTTTTCGTTTTTTTTTCATTAACATTTCCGGCCCTAATTGGCCCATTTGGGCCCCATTTGGGCGGAGTTTTTCCCCACGTGAGCACGTTTCATCTAATCGTCCACCCTTCAAAGGAAATCTGGACAATTTCCCCGATTTTCTGCGCTAGCAACTGCCAAATCACCTGCCCACAGTCAGGCACTTTCAGAGTCAATAACCGAAAAACTGCCCAAGCCAAATATTTCTCGATGCCGGCACTGGATAGAGCCGTCTTTTGTGTAGGGGTGGTGCACCTTTCACAGGCGGGCCATCATCAGGCTAATTTCCAGGAATTTTTAAAGCCCGGGCCTGGAAAAACACGAGAAAACCGCAGCAAGGACAAACGAAAATCTCCCAAACCAGCACAGGTAGAATGGTTTTGCGCTCACCACTGGACAGAGGAGAAAAATTGACGACGAAATTGAAAATTTACGGTTCGGGAGTTATGGGGATTTCCGGCACAGATTTTTCGGAGTTTATTCAAAAGCCTGTAAAAAGCCCCATAAGGGCTGTGAGGTGAGCCCCTGGACCACCGGAATATTTCGTCAAGAAAAACGTTTTTCACTGGAGGCTTAGTTTGGGGGCAAATAAATAATACGCGCTCATGGCGCAAGTTATCCTGCGAAAATTCCCTGCAATTAGCCTGATGAAGGCGTCCATTCGAAACCCCAGAATTTAAAGAATGCACTCGGCTCTTTTCAGAGCTTTTTCCCCAGTCGCCCGTGTGTTCGGGTGTTTTTCTATTGTTTTCATAAGCTCAGAACTCACGACCGTTCGGGGTGGCTTTGCTCACTAAAACGCGGTTAAACGCCTGATGATGGCGGCGAAGTGAAACTTCCACACTGACCCGAGCAAATCCTGTGTTAACCATTGCAGTGATCGGCAGCTGTTTAGCAGGTTTCGTTTCGCGGCGAGTCATCATCAGGCCTTCGCCAACAGCGACAAGTGATTTTGATTTAGTGGCAACTAGCCTGAAGATGGGAGCGACTCGAAACTTTCGCCATCTATACAGCAAAATGGGGCGCCCGGGAACGGGGGCATGTTTCGTTCCGCCACCGGCCAGCATCAGACTCTGGCCAAGAACATAAGGGAATTTGATTCAGTCGCAACATGCCTGATGATGGGGCCTTATGAAACTTTCGGAACGTCAGAGCTAAGTGAGTTTTCGGGTATTTTCTCAATAATTTTCCAGCGTTTTTTATTAGTGTTTACCGGTTTCCTAAATGCTTTTTTCGTCAAAATTAATGCTCCAAAGTAATTGCAAAAATTACCCCCCCAAATCTTATAAAAAAATGCGGTTTTTGACTTAATTGTTGATTTTCATAAAAAGCTAAAGTCGGAAAATCGAGTAAAAAACGCAATTTTCTTAATGGTGAATGCGCTTAGTGTCCAGACTCGACCCAAGTTTAAATTTGTGTAAATTTGAGTGCCCTTAGGGAAAACGACTGGCTCTCCAAAGTTTGAGACTCCCTTATGAGGCTTTGGGGTGTTGAGGAGTGCCTCAGACGCGATTAAACTACTCAAAAGCAGTTATTCTTGTGGGTTTTTTGAAGGATTGGCGAATGCGCGTTAAAATATTGACTTCTTCAAGTCTTTTGCGGCGACATCTTTCGACATTTTGACAAACTTAGMGAATCTGCAGAGTAAAAGTTTGAAGGTTCCGATAGGAAAGAGCCAACAATCAGATTGGGCTGAAAGTTTCGTCGGATCGAGAGTCCAGGATTCTCTATTGGGAAGGTTTGAAATAAACTCTGTATCTGGTCCAGGGGTGCGTTGATGAATTTTTGKAGRSAATACTGACAGCTGTTGAAGACGCAGAAATCAAGTTAGACGCGCCAGCTTTGAAGTGCTGTCAAAAAGTCAAAAACRACTGTAACTCAGTGGAGTTTGCGCCCAAAAGAAGCCAATCTAACCGCAAAAAAACTCARWTTKSGMYSAAAKTTAAGAAGCAAGGTSGTMRGAAGTCGASAKTCSARAAAACCGMKTCTCTTAACAAATTKGATGAAKTTTCATTAAAATTTATCTATTAAATTCAGCATTTAAAATGAAGAACGCAGCAKAATTCCTTTTGTCTACATACTAATTTAAGACAAAATTATATATTTTTGAAACTTTGGCATTTAGAAAACYTTCTCATACGAATCGTCATATAAACGTTGACTGAAATCAGCCGAAAATGTRTCTGAACTTAAAGGATCCGGCCAGAAAGTGGCATGCTGGAGCARAAATAACACCGCCGCCCTTTACATTTGCACCCATATTTCAGAGCAATTTTTCAAACTGAAGAACTCTTTAAACCGTCTTTGAAGAGGGCGCCACAAGGCAAATGACATGGTCGCCCTTTTGAAGTGTGATCGGAAACTTTTTTATCTAAATTAGATGTAGTCGCGTTTTTCACATCGTCAGTTTCTGGGCACCGGCAGTGAAAACAGGCAATTTTAAAAATTTGCCCAGGCAAACGAGATGCGTGACCTCAACCGACCGAAACGGTACAACTTTTCCTGCAAATCATCTGGGCAAGTTTTGGAAAGTGCACGCCAAGATCTGCTAGACACAACAAACAGCCGAATATGCAAAACTGGAGAAAATCAATTAGTTGCGAAAATGTTTTAAATTTTCCCGGTCAATAACCACAAAATGACGATGAAAAGGTGAATCGACAAGTGACAGATCAATAAGATGCGTGACCCGAAAGGAAGTTAAGTTGGTTCTTTGTATGAGAAGACAACTAATCGTCCAGAAGCGCTATTGGTTATTGCTATCAACAAAAACATTTTTTTTGAGGTTCTGGAAAATTTTTGAGATAAGTGACGGGAGAAAAATCCAGAAAAAAATTAAATTAAATCCGAGTGTTAACCCATCTTAGACCAGACGTCGAATAGTCACATTAAGAAAAATTATCCATATCCAACCTTAGATACGTGACTAAGCAGGAAATCTAGAATAATCTCAAAATTGTCTTGATGTTTGGAACAGTTTGATTTATAAAAATAACTCTTGAAAAAACTTAGACTCGTAAGAAAAACCTTTGAGATGCGTGACCAATTAAAATGGGAACATGATCTATCGCCTCCTACAGAAAAAAAGACGCTAATTAATAAACGTTTCCAAAGCAAAACAAACCTAGCAGGAAAAACCAGATATGTGACCCAATGGAAGTTTCAACCTGAAGAACTCAATAACTGTTTTCTAGACAAGGAAAATGTCGCTTTTGAAAGGCTCAGGCAGTAAAACCGCTCTTACAAAAATAAGCTAGAAATGTGACCAATTGAGTGTTTAAGCTGCCGATTCACATAAGCGAAAAATCCCCATCTCAATTTGTTTAGTATTTTAAAAACCCGTTATGCGAAAGTGCCGTGACCAAGATATGTGACCCAAAAAACTTTTGTTCAATTCTCACTGAATATTACAACCTAAATTAAAAACCTATTGTTTTATGGCCTAAAACAAGGCAAAAATAATTT